TTGTTATGATATAAACGAAATCACAATTGAAATAAAGATCTAATTGGATCTCTTTTTTATTTATGGCTATTCCCTTTTCTGCCCATTGACCCTGAAGCAGTCTAGTGGGGATTCCACTAGTTCTGATTCTATCAGTTGCAACTACAAGTGTAGAAAGAGCATTTCAAGTTTTGAGCTATATTAAGAGCAGGCTTGGAAGCCGAATTGGAGGCCAGTTTGCTAATGATTTTTTAGCGGGATACATTTAAAGAGACTTACTTATTCATAAGCAGACATAAAATTAATTTGTTATGAAAATTCGTCGTGGTTGTTTATGAAAATAATAATTTTATTAGTCTGTTATTTTTTTTTTCTATCAATGAATTATTGTTATATTATTAGTTTATAATTATATTTATTACATAATTATTAATTAAAAAATTAAATAGTTATAGTTTGAAAAGAGGGCACAAATAGTTTCACATCCTGACTCTGTCACTGCATCCATCATTGTGTACTCATTGTACATGAAAGGTGCATCGTTGACAAGTTCATAGAGAGAGAACAATTTCGTTGTTGATTTGCTAACCACCTATGTCATTGACATTATTGATAATTTCAATGTATGTCTTGCATTTTATATACTACTTCACAGATTTATATCACATAGAGACATCTTAAAATGTTGTTTTCGCGAGCGAGAAACTATTATTTCATAATATTTTTGCCAAATGAGATACCAAATTCAAACATACCTCCCAATTTAGCTTAGCTCCTTCCAACTCTTTCCTCTTTTCAAATGTTCACTTCCTCGGTTCCTCCTCGTAAACCACTTGGGAAACTGAACAACGCGAGTGATTGATTTCTATTTTCTACGAGGAAAGTGGTTGATATACAAATGCACGAGCTGAAGCGTGGTAGGAAGAATCAATACCGGTCCGGGTTGAATAATAAAATTATAAAAAGACCGGAAGGAAATCACTGTTGTCGGCCAAAAGAGAGTGGTGGGAAGGAAAGGAAGTCAAGTCTCTCAAGTCTGAACTCTGTCAATTAACTCAGTAGTTGCAGTGCGGTGCAGAGCAGAGGCTCCTTGTAGTAAAGGCAAAATGCAAAAACCCAGTACCAAGAAAGTTGATTGGTCAAACCAGAATATCTACCCCGCAGAGCACCCAACTCCCACGTCCACGTGCGTTCCCTATCTCCAACTTCAATCCCTCTGTTTGTTTTCCATGATTGGTACAAACAAGAAAAGAAAAACGATGACAGAAAACGCACTCACCTTTTACTCTCATTGCTTCCTGTTCGCAAGTGTACTACTCCAACCCAGTCGAGGGGCCACTGACGGCTAAATGTGACTGCCGACTGAAAGAAGATGACTTGTCGAAGAAATAGGCTACCCAAAACAACTTGATAAACTGAGCTGCTTCCACGATGATGGACATCATAATCGTGCCTCGGAAAGATCGAGGAGAGTGATACTTTCTAACTAATTAGGAATCCGATCGAATGCAATGAACTATGACATAACATAATATTTATAGTAATCGAGACTCAAGAGTTTCCGTCCTCTGGTGAGAATTGATTTATATTTTTGGATTATCATTGAAGCTATCTAGCGATCACGAACATTTAATTTAGGTTTGAAGAGAAGCTATCTATTTATGGTTAATGTTCTCAAAAAGAAATGAAACTATACTTAAGTCTATTCCGCAACCGTGGATATCTGTCCGAATCCGACCTAATCGGGTAGGGTAAAACTCAAACTCAAAAGTTTTTTAGTGGGTACGGGTTTTGAGGGTATTTGGTGGCCATGATTTTCTCACTAGCCAACCCGAACTCGCCCGATTATGCACAATCATACATAATTTTTCGAGAAATTATCATTATTTTCCCAAAAATATTTTATATTTACCATACAAATACAATATTTTTCATAAAATTTTGTTGTTTGAAATTAATTTTCTTCATTTTAATGAATTATTGTCGTATATTTCCTTACCTTCTAAAGAAATCGGTTGACCATAGCAAGTGCATCAAATTGAAAACAAAAGAAGTTTTTGTCACAATTGAAGCTCAATATTTTTACACGAGTCTAAGGGTAAGTTATGCATGATTTGAAAATTGATCACGCCATATGCGTGAGTTTGTTACTCATATTCAACATACATTGGTGAATGCTCATACTTCAATGATCCTCAATTATCGTTCTCTTCTTGTCCATTTAAGATATTGGAAGAAATTAATCACTAGTCCCCCTTCTCTCCTTTCCCTCATTCTTGTGAAGTTTTTATACATTAAAGAGGTCGAGGAAGTAGGTCTTTCTTGGGGATGATCACACTTAATACGGTATTATCTAACTTCTATTCGCGAGGCGTTTATGTGCTAAATTATCATGTCAAGATAATATTGCAAGCTAATCTAGGCCAATGTGCATTTTTATACATCGAACATGAGGTTTGCCATAAGCTAGTTTGTTATAAATGTTTGTCATGGGGAAACAACCTCATTTTGTCATCTTTTATGCTTGATTTATGTCTTTGATGATTTTCTAGGTCCTCTACTTGATTGGGACTCGATTTGGCAAGGGGTTTCTAGGAAAGTCAAGCTTCACCTAATTGTGCTTCGTCCCTTAAAGTGGAACCGTCGCCGGAGGCCAAGGGTGCCCTACCCGGTGCGATCATCTACCTACACTGAAATTCAATTTTGCCTCGTCCCTGATTGTTTTATTAGCTGGAATATGGGATTATTAGTTTAATTTAATTATGTTTAATATAATACTGATTGTCATAAGCGCTCGTGGCCTAATGGATTAAGGCATCTGACTTCTAATCAGGGGATTGTGGATTCGAATCCCACCGGGCGTGTTTAGTTATTTTTATTACTTAACAATTAACATATATACTACATGCGTTCGAATCCCACCGGGCGTGTTTAGTTATTTTTATTACTTAACAATTAACATATATACTATCTGGGTTCGAATCCCACTGGGCGTGTTTAGTTATTTTTATTACTTAACATATATACTACCGTTTGTAGATAATAACACTCAACATGGTGTTATCTAACCTCTAATTTCGAGGCGTTTGTGTGCTAAATCACAATGTTAATATCATATTGCAAGCTCATCTAGGCCAATATGGGTTTTTATACATCGATCACGAGGTTTGCCATAAGTTAGTTTGTTATAAATGTTCGTCATGGGGAAACTACCTCATTTTGTCATGTGTTATGCTTGATTGATGTCTTTGATGATATTCCATGTCCTCTACTTGATCGGGAATCGATTTGGGTTCATCCCAGCACATTCACAATGCATAGGAGCAAAAGAGGAAGGTTTTACACAAGTCACAACCTCGATCACAGTCGTGACCCCTACGGTGTGACTAGCCTCTGATGTAAAAATGGACAGGGAGTTTCTCGGTCCGATTCGCGGCCAAGAAGGATTTTGACTGACTTTGTCGGGGAATTCTTTGGTTATTAGGAAAAGCCGAGAACTACTAATATAATCTAGTCGTTTTTGCCTAGTTCAACCACAATCTTGTCTTCCACTGGCTACCATCTCTCACTGCTTCATGGGTGAGCGACTAGAGAAGGCGCGGCTCATCACACACCTTCCTATCCTACGCCATTTTGTGGTACTTTTTCATTTTCGATTTGTGTCGTCTGAGGATACTCCGTCTCAAGTTACGTGCTAATAAATATACTGATTCCATACCGTTGAAGTACGTACCGATAATGATACGACTATTCATAGGCCCAACCATCACTAGGCACAAGCAGCCCAACTCAAGAGTTTCTACCGTGATTACGTGCATAAGCCCAACCCATGACGAGAGAAGCTTCTTGTTGTATGAGCTTCGGTTTGTTGGAGTCTTGTTAGCAAGGATGAAGATGTTAGCAGATTGTTAGAGTTAATGGTGCAAGTTGTTAGAGTTAGTGGAGGAAGTGCAGTTGAAGTAGAGCAAAACGTGGAGTTGGTTCCACATAGATAGGGTATTTCTAATTCATGTATTTAAGGTAGAAAGAACGGAATAGAAGGTAAGCAATTTCAGAAATCAAGAAACCCCTGGCCATTCTCGCCAAGAAAGGAGAAAACTGGTTCAATCCCGCCAAGGAAAGGGATCCATTCACTCATACGATTTCAACACGTATCAGATAACCGATGGATGAATTTTCCCTTGGTACCCTGTGTGTCGACGGTGATGGGGAGGGCCGGCCATGAATAGTATGGACTATGGACAAAACATTCCATGCCAGCCACTCCTCGCCGAAATGAAACGTCGCATTTCCTCGCCGGCCAGCTGCCTAGCTAGCTCATGATTATTGTATAAGACACACACACGTGAATAGCTAGCAGGGCCCCTTCGTCTTCAGCAGAACCATCGAAATGCCTCTCTCCAATAATTCCTACCCACTTTCACACTTAACTACTACTACTTTAATTCTCCAGGCCACAGGAAGTCGTTAAGTTCATTGAACTTCTCATCGTAACAACTGGAGTTATTTGGACGAGTTGGTTTACGACGTGATATTAAAATTGGTTTGTCTTTGAGCTCGCGTGTTCACGTACTCGTTGTCTTAAAGCACATGGTATGGCGAGACCGACCCGCGTGGAAACTTCAAGGCCCATAAGTTGGCTTTTGTTTGAGGGGGCGTGTAAGGAAGTCGTTAAAAAATTCATACATGGACATCTCTCAACTACTCGAGTTATTGAGACTAGTTGATTTATGACATAATGAGCAGCAACATGTCAGTTCTTGTTATGAATTATATATATAATTTTACTTATCGCGTAGATGATCCACAAACTCTTTTATCTGATTTCAGAGTAATTTTACTTTGACAGAGAAATCATTTATCTTAATCCTTGTGACGCCCAATATCTACAATTCAACTTGTTCCAAATACTTACTATATATATAAAAAAAAAAAAAAAAACTTGTTCCAGATACACTTATGTTTAGTGAGAGGAAGAAAAATGGAAGGAGGAAGAGAGGAGTAATAGCAAAGGACATATCTTATCCCCTTTACCTTCATTTCCATTATTACTTGTCCCAAATCCGTGTCTTGTTGACGTACCCAAGGGAAACCTCAAATAGCCCAGATGCAGGGAACTTGACAAGGACCAGCTAGCCACCAGCCATTGAGCAAGGAGGGAAAGGGGAGGGCCCTGTCTGCCATCTATCTCTTAAATTTTGCTATACATACATATATATATAAGTAGATCCAAAACCCACAGCCAGGTTGTTCATGGAAGGCCCTATCTGTCACTGTTCTTTAGCTGCACTCTGTACTCCATGCCAGGGGAACCAAAATAAGAGACCAAGCTAAGGAAACAGGTTAGAGGACCCTCTTTCTTTATTTCAATTCCTCTCTATTTCTCGTGAAACTGCCATCCATCGGATATTTTGCAGAGAGCGGGGGGACCGGGCCAGGCCAGGCCAGGGGTTCCCAATTTTCGTGCCTCTTGTGCTAGTGAGAAATTTCATAACAACATGGCGCCAAACTGCCAGCCAAAGGGATAGAACTAGCTAGGGGGCCAGCCGGGGTCCGATTCACAGTACATGGTGGGCATGACTAGGGCTAACAAGCTTTGGGATCGGTAAAGAGATGACTTAACTTATAATTGGGGAGGGAGTTGTTTCTCCTATGGTCTCTGTTGCCATGTACATCATCCAAATACATGCCATTCCAGGTCACCTTCTACAGTCTGTAAAGAAAATGCACTCAACCATGTCAGTATGTCATTAATATAATGGTTGGAAACAGAGACCAACATTGCTTGGCCTAGGGTTCATTCTGAACCCAACAATGTTCCTTCTTTCAGAACAAAGAGCAGCGTTTTTTTAACAAACATCAGACATATAGTTACAAAACGAGCAGTAGTTGCCTTTCTGCATTAAGCTGCCAAGGTGGGTTTACAAAATATAGGAGTCCTCAATAGCCCTCCCAACAACCACCATCTCCATTGTTACTAATCGTAGTTTTACATACAAACAAGGATATGGCCGATCGACACAAAAGGTAGGTGCTTCCTCTCTTTCGATCCACACCAAAAACAAGTTAAGACTTGTAGCTAGCCAATCACTTTATCTCACCTCCGCCCCATGCCAGAAAGCTTTCCTGGGATCCAAACTCCTACACAAACCATATCAACAACAAAAATTATTTGCAGAAAAGTGAGAAGCCGAAAAGAGAGTTGTGGAGAATGGCAGGCAATACATACAAGCTGGCTGAGTCTGAACTCGGGAGGTGTGTCGAGTTCTATATTTGCAGGGTCAACAGCAAGAGTTTGGCATTCCTCTAAATCCTTCTTCAAATCCTCTGCACCTTCATACTGGAACGAAAAGGATGGTTTTCTATTCGGTAATGGATCTCCATTCCCATCTCTACTTGGAGACTGGCTCTGAAGAAACTCTTCACATAAGGATAAACCTTCTACCATTTGTTGTGAATCCAACACGTTTTGTGACTCACCATCCCACCATTTCGCTTCTTCCTCAACACAATCTTTGTTATTTAAGCCTTGATTTTCAGTCACTGGCACCAGATCATTGCAACTAGGGTTTTCAGACACGGGATCAACCTCATCTTCTAGATGTTCAAGCTCCATATACTTCAATGCAATCAAAAGGAAAAACATGTCAACCAGTAATTATGCGAAATCACCTCATCTACACGTATATCAACAACTGATTTTTTAAGTAAAAGTTAAACAAACTCATAGTAGAGCTAACCAACCTGAAGATAAGGATCAGCAACTGTATCAGCAATTGCATCAGCAATTGCAGAGTCTTTCACAAGGTCCGTATCACTAGAACGCCTTTCGGGGAGAGGAGGATCAGGTGTAACAGACATGGGACTGACTGGATCAACTTTTGTAATCAAGGCATGATCAATAGTTTCTGATAGCTCTTCTTCAGTTTTATCGGCCTTGTTAGCTTGTTGCTGATAAAATATCTTTGAAATCACATATTCCCCATCTTTCTCGTCCTCGCCCGTTCCAAGGTGGTACTGATGCATCACCCAGTTTGTTTTTTCAGCTTTACCTCCCCTTATCAGACTAGTGTAGAGAACCATTATTTTTTTACAACCTTTCTGCATGCCTTCCAAGACCACCGGCTTAGTCCTGCCAGTTTTGTGCCAGCGAACATCACCAACATCATCACCTTGAATCTTTCTGCGTTTTCGAGTTCCAGTATTGTAAGCTTTGATTGCCCTGTGGAAGAAGTGAGATGTACTTCCATCTTGTTTCACGCCTGACAAGATTAGATATCATTAGGCTCCAGGAAATTACATAGACTGGTCAATGAAAATACAGGAAAGTTGGAATATTCACCACAAACCTGGTAGGTTCTTGGGATGAGTATAACAGATCCCATCATCATTGTCAACACTTGGTATGAACTCCTCGATGAATGGATGGGGTTTATGAGAAGCAAAACCAGATTTCGCAAGTAAATGCCAGATGATTTCCTGGTCAGTTGGATCAAATTTGACCCCTCTGGGTAATCCAGGCCATGCTTGGACAACCTGCAAAGCATAAGAGATTTTTCGTATTCATGATATTTACAGTCGTCAATTGCCAAACCTTGAACAGTCTAGATAGATAACGAAATTCTCTGGTTAAATTTATCAACAGAACCTTGCAGCTTCCAGTAGAAACATATAAGATGTTGATAACAGCCTAGAATCGCATACAAGAAAAGAAGCATAAATAGTAAATCTACCATAATATAATTGGACTTATTGGACTTACGATCGGAACACCACAGAAAAAGAAAAGAGTGGTCTTACTAAATAAGAGAAATCAATGTCCATAACTGAAGCCTTTCTTTAACTACGACCCTTGCAAGTACAAACACCTATGTCTCTACAATGTTGAATGTAGCATACGAGCATATGAACGAAGTCAAAAGACACGTACATCACTGTTGTCGATTATGTGATGGCAATTTGGACAAGATTTGGTTGGGTTGCTCTCCCATTTGACTTTTTCAGGATCAGATGCACTCTTAATTTTTCTCGCTATTCTGCTACCATCAACCAGCCATGATGGACTGCACAGATTGCGAAACGAATCAGTAGCAAAAAGACAGGGTAGCTATGAGGAACAGATCAAAGTATGACAATAATCCTGAAAGTAATAAAGCCAAAATAAACTGAAAATCAATACAGCAAACAGTGTCCCCAATTATTAAGAAGAGATGAATAACCACTGAAGCACATAAAAGATTAACTCCAATGTCCATGACCGAGCGTAATCAAGAAGGTAAGGTTGGGAAGAGGAACTGTTGCAGTACATGGCATCACGCTTCAGTACGGCCATAGATGGCTAGTACTTGGGATAAGCAGAACGTAACAATCCAAGTAAAAGTTGCAAGCTTCAAATGCGCTGAAAGACAATCAATTCAGTGCCCTATTTCAGGTGATGACTTGCACAAACGAAAACTAAGCGAGCACCACATAGTCAGCAATCCAAACATTAAGCACCAGCTAGATATCCATCCATAATTCTGAGCAACAAAAGGGTGAGATCACAGGAAAGTTTTGAGCTTTCAACCATAAAATTAAACGAATGCTTCCGGGTAAGAACAAAATAATAAGCAGCAAAAGGCTTAAATACATTCAAGAGGATGGGCACAATTTGTACTCTAAGCAACGCCCTTACTGGTAGATGAAATCACATTTTCCCCTGATTTCTAAATTAGGGTTCAGGTGATGGGCTCATGGGCATAAGGGAGAGTTAAAATTACGCAGAACAGAAGCTCTAGACAATACGATGACAACCGACAAAGACTTGGCTTTGACCACACCTACGTAGCCGAGATTAAAGTTCTCCTCCCGAGCAGGAATAGCTATAATAATACATTCATAAGCAACTTACCGCAGTGGATGACAGAACCCACATCATCTTTCTACACAGTCATTCAGAAAATCAAACAATACCAGCTAAACATCTAAAAGGTCTGCTTCGATCGCAGCCTAGAGCACTGAAGAAACAAAAAAGCGGGAGTAGTTGATTACCGAGACATGGCAGTAGGGAAGTTTGATCCAAAACTGATCGATTTAGAAAACCATCCACAAGTAATCTCTGCTTCGGCTCTTGAGCTTGCTGGCTGCTGCTGTATCCCAGTATTTTTCTATTGGGTTCTTTGGGGATACTCAACGACCGCAGAGAAACCGCAGACTTGCTTTGGAGTAGAGAAGTGGAAGGCTTTCTATTCGGAAGCCCTTTAATTCCGATTTCTTGATGGGTTATCGAGATGAAAAGATTTTCCCCCTTTTCTCGGTCTACTTACTGTTAATTGATTTGCACGATATTTATCGCAGAAAGAGAAAGTAGTAATGGGAAACTTATTGCCGGACTGGACTGCTGATGGGAGTGTGCCGGAAGTTGAGAGGGAAATTCCCTTTCCTTTCCCTTTTTTATTTCCGAGATAATTTTCTTTTAATAATGAAATTGTAGCCCTTTAGGGGAATCCTATATCGACAAAGTACGAGAGAGATTTATGGTTCATAAATAAGAAATTGATCTTAATTTTTTTTTGACAATAAAGTTCCACTTTTATTCCACTTCCAAATCGAGAAAAGCGAGAATACACACTATCAAAGGAAATCCGAAATTAGGTCAAGAATACTAATCCAGTCAACAGGTAGGGAGGATCTGGCTAGAGATCGTGCAACCCAATCAGCCTTAACATTGAAAGCACGTGAAACTGCCTTGACCTTCACTTGAGGGTTAGTTCTTAAGATTGAGACCATTGATCCAATCCTGGCTGCACCTCTCCAAGGCCAGTTTCTTGGCTCGTCTGATAGAGCTTTGACAATCTGCTGGCAGTCTGACTGGACAACACATTCAGTGCCATATTCTTGGGCTAATTTGAGACCTTCCAATAGGGTTTCGCTTCGAGTGGGGTGGAACAAAGTAGAGTGTCAGCTCGCCCATCACACACTTGACCATGATGGTTAGTGACTACCACACCATAAGCCGCCGGCTGGGAGTCGTTTAGGAACGACCCATCACAGTGAATCACCAAATTGTGATTGCTTGGCGGTGGAGAATTGAGTGATTGGGCTCCCCTGAGCTGAGTAGAAGGAGAGTCATTGGGGGGACTCCTCGGGCAGCTATTCCATTCTGTGAAATCTTTGTAAGTTCGCAAAATAACGTTCGGATGCCAAGGGATCCTATTCTTGAACACACATTCATTTCTAGCCTTCCAGATATTCCAGCAAAGGAAAATAGCATGGGTGAGGGCTCCTGGTTGGATAGAGTCCTTTAGAAGGTACAACCAGTCAAGGAAAGTAGTATACTGAGCTGGCAATGGTAGGTTTGGGAAGATAACTTCCCATGATTCCCTCGCATGGGGGCACTGAAAGATGCAATGGAAGAGGGACTCATTCGGCCATTGGCACACTTGGCACGTTGCATTAGGAGAGCATTTCCTGTGAAGCAGTCTCTCTTTTGTTGCTAGTCCGTTCCTGGCACATCTCCAGACGAAGAACTTGAGCTTAGGCGGGATATTCAAACTCCACATCCATTTCCATTTCTCCACATTGTTCATCGTTTGGTGATCCGTGACTGCAGAGTGGACCGCATGATACGTTGTTTTGACTGTAAACTTCCCATCATCATTAAACCTCCACGCCCAGAAATCCTTAGCGTCCTCCTCCCCAATCGGAACTCTCAAAATAGCATCTCTTTCTGTAGGAGAGACCTGTCTCTGTAGCATCTCATCATTCCATTTCCTGCTTTCCGTATCAATCCAGGAACTGACTTTTGCATGATTTTGTGGGCCACTCTGAATGCATGCTCTGGGAAGGAAGGGAACCCACGGATCTTGCTCAATCCATGTATCATCTCCTGATCCGATGACTCTCACAGCTCCCAGATCAATAACCTTTTTAGACTCCCACAGACTCGCCCAGATCCAAGATGGTTTGCTCCCTTTTTTAGCCGAGAGGAAGTTGCCTCTAGGGAAATAAAGTCCTTTGATAAGACGACTCCAAAGTGTATCAGTGTTGTTCATAAGCCTCCAAGCTTGTTTGGCAAGCAAGGCCAGATTGAAGTCTCTGAAGCTTCGGAAACCCAAATCTCCCTCTGATTTTGGGGTACAGAGAACCTCCTTCCTGCACCAGTGGAGATTGCTTTTCTGCATTGATCCTGACCAGAAAAAATTGCTAAGGAGAGAGTCCATTTTTTTCGTCAGTGAGACTGGTAGAAGGAACAGGCACATGATGAACGAAGGGATGGCTTGGATAACCGACTTGAGGAGGACTTCCTTCCCTCCATGTGAAAGAAGTAGGCTCTTCCACGCTTCCCCCATCTTTTCCATCCTTTGGATAAGGAAATAGAATGTTTCCTTCTTTGAATTTCCCCATTCAGTCGGGACTCCAAAGTATTTAGAATGGCAATTGGAGGATGCAAAACCAATGTGATTGATGATATCATTCTTCTCTTCAACTGGAACATTCACGCTGAAGAAAATAGAGGATTTGTGAATGTTTACTTCTTGCCCAGTAATTGCCCCATAGTCGTTGATGACCTCCAAAATTCTTCCAGCCTCTTGGATGTTAGCTTTCCCAAAAATGACCGTGTCATCCGCAAAGAGACAGTGGGTGAGAGTAGGGCATCTGGAGTTGAGCTTGATTCCCTTGATCCGTTCTTCCGTCACCGCTTTGTCAATCAGGAATGTGAGTGCATTTGACATAAGGATGAAGAGAAAAGGGGATAGAGGGTCTCCTTGTCTAATGCCCCTCGAGGGACAGAATCTCTCTGAGGCTTCTCCGTTGAATAAAACTGAGAAGCTAACAGTCCGGATACAGGCGGTGACCCATTTGCACCATCTTTCGTCGAACCCATATTGCCTTAGGAGAGTCTCCAGACAATCCCACTCAACCATGTCATAAGCCTTTTTCATATCCAACTTCATCATCATATCCCTTCTGTTGCCACGCTTATGATTCTTAAAATGGTGTAGTGTTTCATGAACGATAATGATGTTATCTTGGATGAGGCGACCGCCTGTGAAGGCTGTCTGGAGCTCTAAGACCAAATCTGGTGTCCATTTCTTCAGCCGGGTAGACATAATCTTAGAAATGATTTTGTACCTGAAATTGCAGCAGCTGATGGGTCGGAATTGGCTTATTGTCTCTGGTTGGTCCACCTTCGGTACCATCACAATGTGCGTATCATTCCACCCTTCTGGCATGCTAGCTGAATCAAAGAATTCCTCAACTTCTCTACAGAGGGTTTCCCCAAAAGTATCCCAATATTTTCTGTAGAATTTACCCGAGAACCCATCTGGTCCCGGTGCCTTTCTCGCTCCAAGTGAGAACACTGCTCTCCTAGTCTCTTCCCTGGTCACATTTGCACATAGATCCTCATTCATCTCCCCTGTTACCATCGCTGGGAATCCCTGAAGGAGGTGGGTAAACTCTATTGAATCTCTAGCCTTGAACAGATCTTTGAAGAAACCAACCGACATACCCTTCAGCCCTGCCTCATCTTCCACCCAATTCCCCACTTCATTTCTGAGGCGAAGTATTTTGTTTCTATGTTTTCTGTGTATGGTGCTAGAATGGAAGAATGAAGTGTTTTGGTCCCCTTTTTGAAGCCAAGCAACTCTTGAGCACTGACTCCAAAAAGCTTCCTCCTCAAGCCAAATTCTGGTCAATTCCGCTATGAGGATCTTCTCCTCCTCCACATTCTCTAGAATTCATGGGGGTTGCTGGAGAATCTCAAGTCTGGACACAATTTCTCTCTCCCTGAGGATGCTATTCCTATGGAGAAGTTTTGGTCTTAATTGACAAAATGTGTTTTGGGTGAAATGAAGAAGTTCTTGTGAGAACTCTGAAGTTAAACATGCTTAGTGTGGATTGTGTTGTACAACAAGGATAAGTGATCTTATGGGTAGTTCTTGAATTGCACCCCAAGTAAAAAACCGTGAGGTCGATGCCCAAAGCGAACAATATCTTGCTCGGGAAAAGGTTCGGGATGTTACAAGTGGCATCAGAGTATCTCCGCGTCCCTCTTGAACGATGGTAGGGCAAACCTCAACGAGGGCCTTAAGTCTCGGGGGTGTATGTAACACCTTAGACGAATCCCACATCAACAAAGCACACGAGAGATCCATGGTTCATAAGTAAGAAACCGATCTTAACTGACAAGACACATTTTGGGGTGAAATGGAGAAGTTCTTGTGAGAACTTCGAAGTTAAACGTGCTCAATGTGGAGTACAACAAGGATGGGTGACCTTATGAGAAGTCACCTTGAATTGCACCCCAAGTCAAAAATTGTGAGGATCGAGGCCCAAAACAAAAAATATCTTGCTTGGGAAAATGTTCGGGATGTCAGACATCACTTGTTTTGTACTTGAAATTGATTTGTTACGTTTACAAAAAAAAAAAAGAAATTGATATGTTACAAACTTACAATGAGTCAATGATAGACTATTATGGAGATGTGGACTACTGTGGCGAGAGATAACCTTCTGTATGAGACTCGGTCACCTTTGTTTTAATTCATTTTCCTTTCCTTGTCTCGCACGTGTTCGGCTAAGGAAATTAGGTTTTTAGTCCTCCGGCTAGTAGATAGTTGATAGTTGATGTCCACATCTTTTGTATCAGAAAAATCAAAGACTCAATAAAATTATGGTATCAGAGGTAACTTCGATCCTAGTTAGTTTATGTATTTGTAATAGACGTAGTTGGAACTGGATCTTTTCGGCGAGTTAGTAGAGGGATGGGATGGGATGGAATTAAGAAGATAAGGGAACGGAATAGAGGAAGAATAGAGAAGGAATGAGAAGAGAACATAACTAGCAGAGAAAGGAGGAGAACGAGAGAGATACAGAGCAGAGAGGAATGCTCCAAAACCACGCATCTGGCCTGTGCTCGAAGTTCGCTGTCGCAACCTTAACCTTTTCCTCATCAAGGACTTTATATCTAGCAAACAACTGCTCGCACTCCCTAATCCAACATTTTGATTCTCACCATTGAATGAAGGAAATTCCAAAGACTACATAGAGAAATTACCTAAAGTTAGACTGTGAATTGCAGGTGCGGCAGAGGAAGGAATCATTGTTGTGGAAACCTTCTGCTCGACATTTTGTCGAGCAGGTGGCGGGAAGATATCTTGTGGTGGAACACTTTGGCTTTCGACTAACTCCTCGAGGGTGGAGGCAATGGCGTTTGGGAAGCCATAGCTCACTCTTGCTCCACCGATGCTGAAAAATGGCGAAACTCGTTCAATGCCCTGGTCAATGTTGATGGAGAAAGGAAGAGTCGTTGTCAAAGCTCTTATTGGTACGAACAGGAACATCGAGTGTCGCCGACGCAAGAAGAACTAATCAATTCTTGCAATATGTCCCCATTTTCTCACAATCAATTCACCTTTTCGGTAATTTTTCGGTGATCAACACTTGTCGTGCGTTGTATTTTTCGAGCCATGTTTCATAACTTCCAGGTGCAGAAGTAATGGTGCTAATTGATGGACAAGGCGGAATCACCGTCATGGCTTCCGAATTACGGCTCTGATACCACTTGTAATGGACGTAGTTGGAACTGGATCTTTCCGGCGAGTTAGTAGAGGGAAGGGATGGAATTGAGAAGACAAGAATAAGGAAGAAGGGAAGAAGAGAAGGGAAAGAAGTAGAGGAAGAATTGAGAAGAGAACATAACTAGGCAACTAGCAGAGGAAGGAGGAGAATGGGAGAGATACATAGCAGAGAGGAAGGGATAATTAGGAAAATGTATTCTTCTTAGTTGTTCCTTTTTGTTACAGCATGTCGCATTTTATAAGGCCTAGTCAATTACAAAATGATCTCACATGAATACCCGATTTACAAATAAGTCCCTATCATTACAGTTTTTCTTTGTTTTCTCGGCTTCATGCCTATCTAGGGTTTCATCGTTGAAGTCCGACCATGGATGACAAGACTAGTGAGGAACAAAGCCTAACCTATTTTGGAGGTAGCGGTGCTTTCTCCACCAATGTCATTGATGGCACCTATCCTCTTCATCTTCATCCCTCAGATCATCCCAATCTCATGTTCGTGAGCGAAGTCCTTACCGACATGCACTATGGAGAATGGGCAGCATAGATGTCGAACTCGTTGATTGCGAAGAACAAGCTAGGTTTTGTCACTAGCAGTAAGCCACGACCTAGCGATGGTCTTCAGCTTGATGCTTGGGTCTGTTGCAATGTAGTCGTCGTTGGCTGGCTTCGTACAACCATGGGTCAAGAAATTAGGAGTGGAATGAGTACGGGATTCACATCGAAAGAAATTTGGGACTAGCTCAAAGAGCGCTTAAGTACCAAAAATTTGCCATGTCGTTAAAAGCTTCGTCATGAGATCACTGCTCTCCAATAAGAGTAGTCAACCATCGTTGGGTTCTACGCTAAAATGAAGCGGTTGTGGGATGATTGACTCACCCTCGATCCACCCGCCAAGTGCACGTATGGTAAATATGAGTGTGACGTGGAGCGTCGCACAGACGCACACTTGCTTCCCACACTGATATGCGCCTTCTTGATTTTCTTCTAGGGTTGAATAAGAGTTTTTCTTTCGCCCGACCTCAACTTCTGCCAATGAAGCCTACACTGAGTCTTGGTGAGGCATACCACATGGTCGCTAACGAGGAATAGCAGTGCAGCTTGTCCGATTTCAGGCCACGCATCGAAGCTGCAATTTTTCAAGGCAAAGATGAGGTTGCCGCAAGTCATGGCAAGAGCGACGTGGTTGCTGGAAAGTGGGAGTATGTTCGTACTCCTGTTGGTAGACTCTTTTGTATTAATTACCAAAAATCGGCCACTTCAAAGAGACTTGTTATGACCTGAATGGATGGCCCTCGAAACAATAGGAGAAGGGAGAACAACCTCATCGTTGGGATAACAACAACACTAGGGATCAGTGTGCCGATCTGTAAGCATGCAGTAGAGAGTAATTTCAGTGTTATCCCCGGACTCACGCCAGCTCAAGTGGATCAACTTAGATCATTTCACAGTCCATAGTAGAAACCTGCAGCTGGAATGGCGGTCAATATGACATGTAATATCTTTTCCAAAACTCAAACTTGGGTTATTGACTCAGGATGTAATGAGTATATCGTTAATAATAACACATTGTTTGATGGTGAGTGGAAACAAAGTTGTCTAACGGCTTTGTTCTTCGCTGCGTTTTGCACGTTCAGGATTTTCAATGCAATGTATTGCAAAGATCAAGAGTTTCTAAGTTCAACGGTTGACCTTGTAAGCTTCTTATAATTCACTAGTTAAGATTGAAAGTTACGTATCACCGTAAGCCTCTAGTAAAGAGAAGGATGTTGAGATCGGGTTTGCTTTGGGACAAGCAAAGTTGAAGTGTGGGGTTGTTTAATGATACATAGAACTAACTATTCTAGACCATCATACTATATTCCAAAGTGCATATATTTCCTATCCTTATCATCATAATACCTTGAATTTGTGCTATGATTGCTTCAAGTGTGTTTTAGCAAGCCTAGGATTGCTTTTGCTGGTCGAATGCGCTTTTGGTAGCGTTTTGTGCATTTTCAGATCAAGCATACTTGTAGACCACTTGGCATCCATAGGGGACATTGAGATCCAGTTGCTGGAGCCGAGAAAGGAAGAGATTATGGGTTTAAAGAACGCGCCTAAAACGGTGCTCCAAGAATGAAAACGGCGTCGTTGTCGACGTTTTACAGAGATGCTCAATTTTGTAACAAAGTTACCTAGGATCTTCCTGATTCACTGACCACATGTTTGGAGGATTCTGATTTGCCGAATAACGCAAGAGCTATGAGTTTTCCTCCTTAGAAACCCTAATTAAAGACCTATAGATAGAGCTAGAGAGGTAGAACTCGGGAGGATGAGGAGACAAGAGTTCAAGGAAGGGTCGTTACTACGCCGACATAGCAACCCTCCTGACTTAGAACTAGACCAACCTCCAAGGGAGAATTGGCGCTAGAAAAGGCGGTATGGGCTCCATTTTCTCGGTTGTCACCGCCGATTCCTGTGGGCTTATAGGTTCTTCGTTTAAATTGATAACACCCAAGAACCCCCTCTCCATGGCTGGCCAAGTTCTTTAGTTGCATAGCTATGTGAACCCTAAGGGTTCTAACCATGTAAAACTCAATGTTTGGTTTCATATGATTGATTTTATTCATATGTGTTGATGTTTGATTTCCTCTATTTTGTTATTTGTCAATTCGAATGAGAGCTTAGTCGGCCTTGCAATCTTTCAAGGTGCAAGGATCAAACTCCAAGTCAATTATGATTATGGCTAGAAATGGCGGTCATATTCGATCGTACGACATGAAGCCTCAATGGATAAATTCGAAGCATCCTTGTCGCCCATTAGTTCGGGTAAATGCTTCAACACAAGGTGGTATCTAACGAAATAAGAATTCGTCCGCTCGTATGCCACCGATCATTGAGAGGCGCACGGTTAGGGGGAGCTTGCCTATGCAACGCTTTTATTCTATGATCTCTCACTCGTCCAATATCTTAGATTTACTTTTTCGCACCACCTTTCTTCTTAACTCTTACGTTTTGCGAAATTTGTGGCACCTCAACCTCCTAAATCACTCTCTTTTTCAATAGAAATGTACATTGCTTCACAAGTAAGGGTTCTGCGAGAGACTCTAGGGAAATACCATTTTGGTCTTAGGGCCAGGTAAATTTGTCTTTGTTCTATAGATCAATTGTGGCTTTTAACCAAAAGGACAATGTGAACACATTTTCCCCAAATCGTTAGATTAGGGTTTCAGTGTCGAATATATCAGGCAGTTAAAATTATTCAGAACAAAATCTCTCAACCACAATGACAACAATGATAACTTGGCTTTGACCATACATGCCTATACAGATGAGATCAAAGTTTCCTCCAAAGCAGGCATCACTATAATACATTAGACATCACAGTGGAAAAGGAAACCCACATGATCTTTTAGGCCAGTAATTCGGATAGTCAATCGATACCAGCTAGACACCCAGAAAGTCACTGGAAAGAAACACAACTTACATAAATGTGATTGTTTTACTTCGATGACAGCCAGGTAATGAAGAAACAAAAGACAATAGACGGATTTGATTACCGATCCATGCGAGCGCTTAACTTTAATCAAAAGATGAAAACTTTAAAAACCATCCGCAAATATTCTGCTTTCGCTTTTGATCTTGCTGCTGTTGTACCTCGGAAATTTCTGTAGGGTTCTTGAGGTGTTCGATTGAGGCAGAGAAATGGCGGATTTGCTTCTGACTTCCAACATTACATTCTAACTCCATCTACTTAAATTCAATGAATTGATGGGTTAGAGATTTGGATAGATGAATTTCTGTGTAAACTTACCATATAATGTTAAATATTTAGTACTTTACATTTCAATATCTCAACTTATGCTTTATAATAACGGGAAGCATAGTAATATAGTCATTATGGATAATTTGAAGAAAAAGAGGTACCAAGATCCTAATGATTAGGGGATAATAGGGTGTCGGTTATCCAATTTAACCACTTACCAAACCAAATAATCGGTTAATCGGATAACCGAAAACTGATTATATTGCATTGCGGTGTTGGTGTCGGTTGCCGTTTTGGAGGAATATTTATAACTGAAGGTTGCCGGTTGCTAACCGATAAAAACTTGGTGCACCGTTGTTAACCGCCATACATCTTCCTCTCCTCTTGTCGCTCTCTGACTCTCTCCCTTTCCTTCCTTTCCCAATCTCAACATTCTCCACCTTCGCCCTCCTGAAACCCTAATTCATAAATTTCAATCTAAACTTCCCTATCTCAATTTTTGGTAGAGATTAATCAACATGACGGTTCAGTTAAATCGTAACTGAATCGACTATCACCCTTATTAATGAAATCGTCTTTGTCACGAAAATGAGTAAAAATCATATTTGTATACATTTTGTTGTACCAACCAAAATTTTCAATATCTTTTCAATTCTTTGTTTAAAAGACCTTTCAAACTAGTTCATTTGTGAATTAACGGTTCATTTATCCGACATATTTGTAAGTTAATCTTACATAATAATTTTATAAAATGTGAGATCGTTAATTTGATTTTTATTATTAGCCACACATTACGGAAGATTATATAACACTGTTATATAACAATTTTAAAATATACTAAATAAATCTTATAAAGGTTTAAGGGATAGTTATTTCTTATATATCAATCAAACAAACGTGTTATATAAGTCTTCCGTAGTAACTAAGACACTATGCAAAGCTAATGGAAGTGTCTTACGTAATAACTTAATTTTTTTTATAAAAATAATTAGTTTATTATCGCCGTGAAGCACGGGTACAAAACTAGTAATATAATTAAGTCGTCTCAATTCGCCTCAGCTCCTTATATTTAATAATTATATTTTTCAATTTCTTGAAGCAAGAATTTACATGGGCGCCCCGATATTCAACGACAAGGGCTACGGACCGCCTCCCTAGAGATGGAAAGGTTCTGACTGGCCGGAGCCAATTTCACCGGCTGCAACAAGTATTATACATTTGGTGTAGTTGGATATATCGTTTTTGGTGGTCCAGCTACGACTTCAATATGATGACTAACTAAAATTTTGTATGTCCGTGTTTTGTTAACAGTAAGATAATCGGGACACGTGTTTATGCCACAATGCACAAGGAGCTGGAGACTTCGTCGGCGGACACCCAAGGGCACGACACTCACACAGGCTCCACCGTAGTTGGGGCGCAAGTGAAGGGAGCTAGTTTGTATAGGATCGGAAAGGGCACGACTAGAGGCAGCGTTCCGTCAGCTCGACTCCAAATATACAAGGTGTGCAGCACGGAGGGTGACGACTACTGCTATGAAGCTGACATATTTGCTGGTTTCGGCGATGCCATCAATGACGGAGTGGACTTCATTTCCCTATCAATCGGTGGTCCTCCCAGCGAATACTTCAAAGATGTGATCTCCATCGGATCTGACCACGCGATAGAGCACGGAATCCTCACAAGAGCCGCTACCGACAACAATGGCGGCTACCCTAATATCGTGCCCAACGTAGCTCCCTGGATTTTGACTGTCACGGCCACTGACAGGGCTAAGCAGTATAAGACCACAGTTGGCCTCGAGAACAGAGTTTAAGAAAAATGAGAGAAAGATTTGGGTGGAAGAGCAGCAGACGTGCTTGGCAATGTAGTCAAAATCGGGATTTTGATCGTAAAATATTAGGATTTTAGGATTTTACTTAGGGATTTCGATCCTGATTTTACTATAAAATCGGTGGACCTTAAAATCGTTCAAAATCAAATCGTTAAAATCGTACAAAAATCGGGATTTTGATCCTATGTGAACAAAATAGGCAGTTTGAGCCAATTCAAAAGAAGCGGAACTGTTTCGGTGGAAAGGGCAATGACAGGGATCTTCTCATATATTTTCCTATTAAAAGAACATTTCAAAAGAATAAAAAAAACAAATTAGGGTTAGGTTACCTCTTTCCCTTCCCCTTGATTAACTCATTGATAAAACAACTGTTATAATATTGTAAATACGTAAGAATTAACATCATCACTGACAAATAATTAATTAATGAATATAATTGCACCAAACTAATGACAGTAATTATTTTATTAGAGTTCATGTATTCTTAGTTTTAAATCATGCTTAGTAGACAATGTCGGAATTCTACTTTGAGTTAAACTACCTAAACACAACATGAAAACAAGAGCCAAACCCTATGAGCTATATCCCTTCCTCATAAATTATTTTGAGTTATGCATTAAATAACAATTAAAATGATGATTTTAGAAAATTAATATTGAAACTTATTATTTTAAATGTTATATGTCTTTGTGTTATTAATGATTTACCTTATTAATATTATTATATATTAATTTCTATATGGTACTTAAAATCTTACGATTCTACGATTCGATTTTATCCCAATTTTCGATTTTAGGTAAATCCCAATTTTGAGTGCTTTGGTGGTTGGTAGGGATTAGCTTATTGATAACTAATCCAAGGTGATAGAAGAGAAAAGGGTGGAGGAAGCCAACCCAAAGTGGCCCCAACCCAATAAATGAATGTCTACGCGTGGAACTGTCAAGGAATCGGCAACACCTTGACTTCCCAGACGCTGAAAGCTTGCCGCAATATTGCCAAGTCATTCTTGTTTTTGTGTGAAATTATGTCTCCTAGTGACAAAGTCAGGTCTTTTATTTCTACGTTAGGTTTTTCAGATTGTCATCCTGTCGACCCTTCTGGCCTGTCGCGGGGTCTAGTCTTTGCTTGGCCACCATCAACTTCAATCTCAATTCTGGGCTCCTCTCCTTGTTATATTGCCATCTCAATCATCAATAATAATGTCCTTTGCTATGGAGAATGTCCTCAATTTGTCCTCATAGGGGTTTATTTATCCTATATTGTGACCAAGCGTCGATCTCAACTAGAGGAAATTGCAAAATTTTGTGCTCGCCTATCGGATCCCTACCTAGTTATTGGAGATTTCAATAGCTCCTTATATACCCTTGATAAGGCAGGAGGATCCCCATGGCGAATGGATAAAGCCCGTCCACTGTGGGACTTTGTTAATCTTTTAGGTCTATTTGAACCAAATTCCCAAGGTCCCAAATTTACATGGACAAATCGGGGAAGGAATGGAGTCACGATTGAACGAAAAATAGATAGAGTCTTCGTCTCTACATCCTGGATGAGCATCTGGCCTTCGACGAGCGTATATCATCTCACAGACATAGGCTCAGATCATATGATGGCTAAAGCAAAGAGACTATTTCGTTTCGATCTCAGGTGGATCCAAATGCCGAAAACTGAGTTAATAATCACTTATGCTTGGAATCTAGAGGTAGCAGGCTCAATTCAATACTGTCTATTTAGTAAGCTTCTGCGAACTAGACATGTGTTGGTTGGTTGGTCTAGAGGAGGAACGTCTAACTCAGCAAGGTTAATAAACGACCTAAACCGCGCACTAGAAGAGGCTAGATCTAATGCTTTGGTAAACTGGGCCTTAGTCAAATCATTGGAAAAAGAATTGATTGTCCAATATAATCGGGAAGAAATATTTTGGAGACAAAAATCCCGAACTAATTGGCTACAAGGTGGGGATAAAAACACCGCTTATTTCCATATAGTCACCGCAGCCAGACGACTAGCCATTACAATTTGGGGTCTGGAAAATTCCCAAGGGTCATGGTGTACTGCAGAACACGAGAAATTGAACATTGCGGTAGATTACTATAAAGACCTCTTTCTAACACAATGTACGTCCAAGATTGACTTATCCCATCCCCCGGTAGAAAAAAACAGTGGACGAGATCCAGAATCAAAGTCTAATCGCTCCAATAACTCAAGAAGAAATTAAGAAAGCGGTGTTCAGCATAGGCAAAACACAAGCCCCAGGCCCTGATGGATTTACGACAGGTTTCTACCAAAATTATTGGGAACTAATCAATCAAGATGTGATCCAAGCAGTATTGGCTTTTTTCCATTTTGGGCATTTACTAAGATCCTTCAACCGTACTTGGATATCTCTAGTCCCCAAGGTAAACAACGTAAGAACCATGAAAAACCTAAGGCCAATCAGCCTTTGCCAAGTGATTTACAAAGTCATAGCAAAATTTTTGGCAGATAGACTGAGTAGAGTGCTACCCAGGATCATATCCCAAACACAAAACGGGTTTATCAAAGGGCGTCAAATTTCTGATAACATCTTGATCAGCCATGAAATGGTTCACCATCTCAAAACTTCAAAATCCAAGAAAAAAGGTGGATGGCAATGAAGTTGGATATGGAGAAAGCATACGATCGAATAGAATGGCCTTTCTTGTTCGAAATGATGAGGATTTTTGGTATACATCCTAGATTCATTTCTTGGGTAAAAGAGTGTGTCACTATAGTGTCATATTCGATTCTCATTAACAGCTCCCCATCAGAGTATTTTAGACCTTCAAGAGGACTAAGACAAGGAGATCCTCTATCGTCTCTCCTTTTCGCCATCTGTGTCGAAGGATTTTCTAGTATGATAAGGAAAGCTACCTCCGCAGGATACCTTGAAGGAGTCAGAATCCGCCCTAGTTGTTTGATAATTTCCCATCTATTTTTCGCGGATGACTCATACCTATTCTTATCCACCTCGCCGGAGTATTGTACATCTCTCTTTTCCCTACTTCAGGCTTACGAGGAGTTGAGCGGACAACGAATAAACTTTAATAAATCAGCCGTCCTTTTCAGTCACAATACAGACCCTTCCCAAGCTCAAATTATGGGTGCTCAATTGGGTGTTGGTACCATAGGATAACATGACTCTTATTTAGGCCTACCAGCTATCTTATCTAAACCAAAAAGAGAGACATTCCAGTTCATGGAGGAGAAGCTTATTAAGAAGCTATAAGGGTGGAAACAGTGATCACTTTCGAAAGCTGGGAAAGACATTCTTATTAGAACATCGGCCACTAATATTCCAGTACTAGGTATGTCATGCTTCAAGCTCCCCAAGGAAAACTGTAGGCGCTAAACAGTCATATCGCAAAATTTTGGTGGGGTACGGCACAAAATTCAGAACACCCAATCCACTGGTTTTCTTGGAAAAGCCTGGCTCACAGCAAGTTCCATAGAGTTCTTGGATTCAGGGACTTTGAAGCCTTCAATCAAGCGTTGCTAGCTAAACAATGTTGGAGAATATGGACCAATCCAAATTCATTACTTTCCCAAATATATAAGGGTCAATACTTTACCCAATGCTCGGTGTTGGAAGCATCAATTGGTTCAAACCCTTCATGGGGGTGGAGAAGTCTACTCTTTGGAAGAGATCTGCTCCTACAGGGACTAAGATGGCAAATAGGCAATGGGCAAAGAACCCGGGCATTCATTGATAAATGGGTTCCGGGAGATAAACCCTTAACCCCAAGTACTCGACGCCATATTCAAAATGGATCACCTATGGTATCTTATTTCATAAAAGAAGGTCGAGGGGAATGGGACGTTCCAAAACTCAAGAATTGCTTTGAACCTCAATCTGTTGATCTCATAAGGAGAATTCCTCTTCCTCGATACTCACAGCAGGACATTAGAGTGTGGCACTATTCCAAAGATGGAAAATACACAGTAAAATCGGGTTATCACTTAGTTCTGGAAATAACATTGGCATCAAGTCGAAAACCGATAGTGCATATCATCGATCCTCCAATTTGGAAAAAGACTTGGAGCATCCAAGTTCCGCCTAAACTCAAGTTCTTCATATGGCAATGCCTCAAAGTCATACTTCCAACAGTAGTGGCCCTTCAATCTCGTGGAGTAAACTGCCTTAAACGATGTCCTGTCTGCTGGAGACATAGAGAAAGTATTGAACATTTATTATTCAGATGCCCCCTAGCCATCAGATTGTGGACTTTAGTGCGATTGAGCAACTTTATTGAGACCTCCCAGAGTGTTAACTTTAGTCTATGGTGGCGACATGTCATGGTCTCCGAGACCTCCCCATTCCACATTCTCCAATGCGTTTGTTTACTTTGGAGAATCTGGAAGTCTAGAAATGAAGTGACCTTTGAATTTACCCAACCTCATGTCTCTTCCCTAGCCAGACAGTTCTACAACCAGGTCCTCGAATTCTCCAGTCTTCTTCCCCCCTTCCTCCCCGCAGCTGTCTACCCCAAACATGCCTACCACCACTAGGGTCCCTCCTCCAGAAGGTTTTTTGAAGATCAACGTCGACGCAGCTGTCAGTGCCTCCGGGTGTTCGTCTGGGCTTGTTATCCGTGGGTCAGACGGGCATGTGTTGTTGGCGATCGGGTTGCAGCATCAAGGAATAGTCAACCCTTATCTGGATGAGCTGCTAGCACTCAGGGATGCTATCTCCTTTGTGGCCTCAAGATCCTTGACCCATGTGATAGTCGAAGGTGATTCCGAAGTGGTCGTCAACCAAGTCCGTCAAGGCGTCTCAGAAGACTCGATTTGTGGTCCGGTGCTACGAGAGTGTCTTCAGATCCTTAGCTCTTTGTCTGTTTGTATAGAGTTCAGGGCGATACCTAGATCCGCCAATAGTGCTGCCCATAGAGTGGCGCGTAAAGCACTGGTTTTGTCTCTTGTAGCTAGAATCTTTTGATTTCTTGGGGTGGCTTCTGTAGAGTCTCTTAGGGGTCCTGGGTAGAATTGTAAGCTTAACTATTATTTCTCATTGATATCACTCAG